ACACACACACACACACACACACACACACACACACACACACACACACACACACACACACACGTGCACAGCGCTGTTCGGAGTTCGTGCCTCTGCTGTTCCGGGCAGCTCTCGGCTGATCGCATCCAGAGTGTGAGTGAGCCCCAATACCCCAAGTGAATGGCTCTGAGTTCGTTGCTGGAGCGTTCCGCCACATGGCCTTGTTTTTCTTGCTTACATTTGGACGATTTTTTTTTTCCGTTTATGAGAATGAATCTCATGCTACAACATGATAAGATACACCGCCATATTTTCTGTGTTTTGTTGCATGAGAAGAAAAGTGGGTGAATCAGGGCCTTGCTGCACAAAATGAGAAGGAATATTCTGCTAGAACATGGTAAGATGCAGCACCATATTTTATGTGTTTGTGGTGAGCAGCGGAGAGAGGCCCTATGCAGGGGCAGGTCGGGCGATGGTATGTGAGTGGGCGGTACAAACGACCCCCCAAAAGCCAAAATGGGCAAAATAACACAGAAAAACGGGAAAACAGGACATTCCAAAAAAATCCCAGCATGAGCATAGACCACGGAGCTGTCCACCAGTAACTGCAGTCAGATGCAGTCAAGAAGTGTCATAGATTTTTTTTTTTTTTTTTTTTTTTTTGAGGGGAAATGTCACAGTCAGAGCATGCCCAGGGTTCAGAGCAGTAAAGAACTTCTAGAAGTAAAAAAAAAAAAAAAAAAAAAACGATAAAAAAACGGGAATGAATTGGGCACATTCAGGATTTTCCTTTTCTTTTTTTTTAACTTTTCTGTGGAAGGAGGACCGGCCCATAACGTTCTTCCGGAGCGAGGTCCCACCTGCAAAGAGCATTGGATTCAGCGCCTGAATCCGGACGTGTTCGCCGAGAGATGCGGAAAATCACCACCATCCGCTTTTTCTCCATCTCTTCCTTTTTTTTTTTTCCGGAGAAGTTGTCACTTTATATTTCCAAAAACGGAAACAGAAAATGTCACTTTATCTGGCTAAGGCTGCCAGGATAACTCCAGGTTGAATTGTTGAGGTCCCCGGCCTCGTCCCTATGTTTATTGCAAGAAAAGGTATACGCTTTCCAAAAAAAAAAAAAAAAGAAACAGAAAATGGTCGAGGCGGGGACCTCACAATTCTACCCGGTGGAACCAGGGAACCAGAAGCTGGAAACCGGGTCCAGCGTCCCATGACCACTCTGTCTCTAAGCAAAGACTCCTCAAAATTGTCTTGAAGCACAATAAAGTGTGGCGGATCCGAGACGAAATCTCTATTCCTTCAGCCTGAATTAGTCGAGGGTTCAAATCACTTCCCCAAAAGGCAAGATTGCCTTGAAGCTCAAACAATTCTTGCGAACCAATGACTCTTTATGATCGCAAATTCGTGTGTATGTATGATTTGAGAGCACGGGCTGGTATTATCAGCTGCTCAAAGGGGCCAACTGGGAATTCACTCCGTAAAAAAAACCTGAGTTTATCCTTTTAGAAGTTTTAGTAGCTTTACTTCTTAAAAAAAAAAAAAAAAAAAAAAGGTTCTACTAGGTAAGAGCCAATCTGGGAGTACCAGACACCGTTCTGATGAAACAGACGCAAAGGACTTCTGTAGTCCCCAGGATCTCATGAACCTCTCTGCTTTTCTGAATCTCTGCTCACAACCCATCTACTTCCCGTTGCTAGTGAACCTTTACTTGGAAAGGGGGGATTGGATTTAACGTCGAATCTGGACGTGACAAATGGAAAGATGCCAAAAGTCGTGATTGACCTGCTTTTGTGCATCTCCCGTCCAGAAAGCGAATCAACCGCAAATTTCTGCACCTATTCAGGAACATGTTAAAGATTCAGGCGGCAGATGCAATCCTCTTTCTGGGGAAGGGACGTTCGTTGGCATCGGCCAGGGTTGTTCAAGGTGTGAACTTACATTCGTTTAGAACACGCCGCCTGGCTCATGCATTTGAATACAGCTCTTGGGCGGAAAGCGGAGAGACGCAAAAGCCAGTTTTGAAACGGCCAAGTCCCTTCACGCGCGGTGATCCCCTTTTCCAAAAATGGGAAGTTTCCACGACCCTCGAACCCGCGACTGGTGCAGCCACAATGTCAATCGGGGAAAAAGAAACTTGCACCGGGCCTGTAACACGAAACGACACGACAGCACGTAACAGCACCGCCGGGATAGAGGGCTGAGTCCCGGCTGACACAAAAAGCACCCGCTTTCTAAAAACGAAAAGTTCGACCCTTGAAACCGTGACGGCCGGTGCTACAACATGAAACGGGAAAAAAAAAAGAGGCACCGACCCTATGACGCGAAAACGAAAACGCCACAAGCAGCAGGAAGAACAAAGCAAAAGGGTGGATCCAGAAAACCTCGAGCCCACGTCAGCGGCCTTGGGGGGGGGAGGAAATCTGCACCATACGCAATTCGGGGAACACCTTCTGTCCCACTCAAACAGCACGCGGGCCTCTTTTTTGCTGGGTCCAGAGGCAGCGTCTTCCAAGCCCCGCTCCTTCCTTGAATGGTTTGATAGATAGCAATGGAGGGAATATGGCAAGAATCTAGAGAAGCATTTCAAGGTAAGACTAGATGGGTAAGTTTCCCCAAATCTGAAACCATACTGAATGAGGGGCTCACCAAGACTTCGAGGCACATAGCAAGCGAATGCAGGGAGAGAGAAATGCGGAGAAGAGGTTAACGGAGCCCTAAATTTTCAGGACTTTTTCAGGGTCATTATGGCAAACGCCCCATGCCTTTTATGCCAGACTTGTCACCAGTCCATAGAGTGGACACCAAATAAACCAACAGCAAAAAAAAAAAAAATTTAAAAATTGATCAAAGGGGCCTCAACCCCAAGGCAAAAGTGTGTTTTCATGCAAAATTCACTCTTTTGAGTCTTTTCAGTTTTCAGGATTTTCAGGATTTTTCAGGGCTGGCCAAAACAGTGATTAACCTTTGGTGGAAATGCGAGGAAAGATGCCCTCGGCAGGCCTACACAGGCGCCTCGCTCCAAGCAACGGCCTCGCCCTAAGTGAAGGCGGGCCTGCAATTTTGTTCTTTTTTCTTTTTTTTTCTTGAAAAGGCCCAAACTTGACATTTTCAGGGCCTTTGGGGCACCAGACAGTTACTGGGCGCCAATTGGTTGGAGGGGCCCTGCACGCTAAGCAACCGTGGGTTCCTGAGCCTTCTAGGCTCTTGCAGGCCTGACGTGGAAGGACTTCCGGCCTATCAGGACACAGCAAGTCACCCAGGCCACGCCATGCAGTTGGGCGCGCCGAACTGCTTCAGGTCCCAGGCCGTTGTCTGAAGTGGGCGTGGGCACAGACAATTTGGCCCAACTTGAAGCTACTGGGCGCATCGTCGCCAGGCCCAGGCTGCCGTCGAGGCAAGCACTTTCCATATAGTAGGAAAGTGCCTGCCTAGGAGGAGGGCATTCGGGCACTTGCATTCTGTGCGGCAGTGCTGCTTGCATGAGCGCTCATAGGCCATTGGTGGGAGAATCCGGGCGTGCGCGGGCACAGAAGGTGAGGGGCGCTGCTCGTAGCAGCGCAGCGCCAAGCCAGCCATAGCCGAGCTTGGGCGCAGAAGGTCAGGGGGTATGGTGGTGTTCTTCGGTGGAGGTCGAGCATGGGGGAGAAGACGGGGGTGAGCTAAGAGAGGGCAAGAGAGAGAGAGAGAGAGAAGGATAGAGGGCACGTACCTTGTTCGTCGTGGAGGTCTGCATGGGCGACATCTGCACGTACTGTGGTTTCTGCTGCCAAGGTCTTGTGGTTGCTGCATTGTAGATTAGGCTAGTATAGGAGCTGTGTGATAGTAGTCTGGGCGCTGAGCGTCGATAGGGAGAAGAGACATCGGATACATTGTTGATGGTGGCGAGAGCGGGCCGACGTTGAACAAGTTTGAGTTCGTTGCGTCGGTTTCCTTCGGTATGATATTGGTGCATTTCTTTCTGCTTTCTGGGCAGCTCAGAACTACCTGGCTTTCAGTGTGATGTTGCAAATTGGAATTCTGTCATTTTGCTCTTGCCCATTTTCCTTGCAGAAAGGATAGTGAACGCTATGGTGGCAACAGGTGAGCATGACTTAGCCGCTAATCAGTCATCTTTTTTTTCTTTTTTCTTGTTAACTACTCTATGAGTCTATATTCTTCTCTCGATTTTTTACCTCGCACCAGCCACCTATCCAAAACTGGGTATCCCATCCAGCTACCTATACACATTATAATGTGTATATGGGGCAACTTGCACTCTAGATACAGAGGGATAAAGACCATGCATTCCGGGGTTTCTGTTTATCTTTTTGACTTTGGCCTCCACCCGTGCCTAAGCACCACTGGAACATCTCACTCCACCAGCATCGGACCTAATAATCTACGTATGCAGGACTAATAAAAACGGCCGAGGAAGAATTATTAGCCCAATGGGCAAGGTGGGAATTCCAAGGACACCCAACTGGCCTAACCCAGTTGGTACACCGGTGAACTGTTGAAATACAGACCCAAGTTCGAATCCATATGCACTCAGAATGAGTAGAATATTAGAATAATTAAACATAATAATTAAAAATGATTAAAAATTCAAAATAAATTAAAAATTAAAAGTTAAAAATCCACTCCCACACCCATGTCATGGACGACGGGAGAGCAAGCATTACATTTCCTGGGCATCATGGTCAACAAGGAAGGAGTACGGCCAGGAATGGGCCAGAACCTAATTGCCAGGGCAATCACCCGCTTGGCCCTATGCAGAAACGCTCAGGCCTCACTAATCCGACGAGCCCTTTTAATAAACACGGCAATCTTTTCCAGATTGTAGTACATGGCATCCATGGTCTCCCCTCGACGACGACATCAAGACGTTAAAAAACAGGGTGAGATGCTACCTGTGGACAGGAGACCCCAACAGGACCACGTGTATCAACAGGGTAGCCTGGAACCACATTACGAGAAAACCACAGGAAGGGGGCCTCGGGTTAATCGACCCCAAACAGGAGTATATAGCACTACAGATGAAATGGATTATCAAGATCCTGATCAGGCAATCCCTCCCTTGGACCCAGATGGCTCTGGACAGCATCAGAAACCTGGCGCCCATAAACTCCCCCCCGAACATGAGATGTCTCTACTGGCTCATGGCGAAGGACTGGGCAATCAAATCAGGCAGACCTCGTAGGAGAAACCGTACAGAGCCCATCGCAACCCCCACTCAAACAGCCATCTCATACTGGAGTCCTACCATCAAAGCCGGGCGTAGAATGATGCCAAGTAAACACGGTTCACCAGGAAACAGAGAAGAGGTCCTGAGACAACCTCTCTTCTGCAACCCTTGGATCACCGACTCTAGCAGAGGGACACGGACTCTACGCACAAAAGACCGAAGATGGCTATCCTGGGTGGAAAAAGGCGTGTGGCAGGTGAAACACATCTGGGCAGAGGACCAAGGACGATGAGCTGCCGAACAGGAGCTACGAAAAACCTAACGTTGATCCAGAAGAGTATCCCAGTACAATGGCTCTCCCTCCTGAGGGAGGACTTCTCGTGGAAATCCGGGGATTGGGGCATACTCATCTCCCAAACCCAGCCTACTAGAGCATATATCCATTTGTCTCTTGAACCAACCCACTCGGCTACCTATCTAAATTCTACTCATATGCCATAGCTAATCACAGCCTACAAGAGCTGGAAATCCAGAACAAAAAGACCCCTAGAAAGAGTGCGACACACTAGAAACCTTCTGACTGAGAAAAGTGAGGGTTTCAAAGTCCATACCCTGGAAAATCCTCCAACCGGACCTCAGCATTTCAGACGTCGAATTCGACCGGAAAGAGTGGGTTTGGAAGCAGGGCAAATTCGGGAGAACCAGAACGATATTTGATTACGATGTCAAATTCGGCTATGAGCTGGGTCTGCAAACCACAGATCCGGACCCCAGACTCAAAGGAAAGTGGAGGGAGATCCTGAATCTGGATCCCACGGACCCCAGTTCCATCCCATGGAAGAAGTACCTGTCCATTAGACCGGTTAGTATTTGTAGCATGCAGTGGCTCGTAGCGCACGCATCGCTGCCGGTCAATCAATGGCTCCACAAGAGGAGGAAACATACGGACCCTGACAGCTCTGAGCTTTGCAGGCTGTGCACAGACAGCATCCCGGAAGACATACCCCACTGCCTACTGTACTGCACGGAAGCAGGATTCATGGGTATGGAACAAGGTGCATGACCTTTGGTCCCTCCTCTTCTCATCACCCCCTCCGCCCACAACTCCCCTGAACATCCTGCTCCTGTCCAACGATACTAACAATCTCAAAGGCGCCAAGGAAGTATGGTTTCACCTGCTCAGGAAGCTGGCTCTATGAGTAATCTGGAAGAGGAGATGTCCCAAGACGATCGAAGGAACTGAGGTGGCAAGAGAAGAAATGTGGGTACTACTGCTGGGAATGGCCGAAACTGAGATTCATGCATGTAGTGTGCACTGATTTGTCAGGTGTCGAGCCGGTTGCCTCTCGCATGTCTTTTGACGGTGAAGACAAAATTCTAAAAAATGTGAATGGATTGCAGTGTGGACTGATTTGTCGGGTGTTGGTGCTCATCATCTGTTGTGTGAATGGAATGGCAGATCGATTTGGCAATTGATGGGGCTGATGAAGTCGATCCGGACCTTAACCTCGTCAAGGGACGTGGTGGGGCTCTTCTTCGTGAGAAGGTGTGACTTTTTTTTCATTCACCCCTTGGTCTTTGCTTAGACATGCATGGACAAAGGTGGCTGTGGCTATTTTTTTATCTACCTCCTCTGACTTGGCAGCGCTTGGCTTTCTTAATGCATTATCCTGAGGAAAGAAAATCTAAATTCACACCTGATCTTCGAGAGCGAGTCTGAGAGACACATAGTCTGGCTTACGACCCTTGTCAGGCGAGGATCCACAGATGCGGGGCAAAATGAGGAAAAACATAAAGAAAAAATTACTTCCCCCCCCCCCCCCCCCCCCCCCCCCCCCCCCCCCCCCCCCCCCCCCCCCCCCCCCCCCCCCCCCCCCCCCCCCCCCCCCCCCNCCCCCCCCCCCCCCCTCCTCTCCCCCTCCCCCTCCTTCTCCCACTCCTTCTCCCTCTGCCTCCCTCCTGCAAACCCCGAAAGGACAAAAGCACAGCGAAGTGTGCATCATTGATGTGCCGTGCGGCGGCTTTCTCAAATTCTCACAGTCTGAGCAGTAATGAGCAGAAGGGCTGTGTTTGGAGTGCAGTTACAGAATGAGAATTGAGTTCGTCTTCATTGCGGCCGTCATTTGCTACGGTGACGTCAACCTGACGAGTACGGAATAACCAGTTTTGTCCACTTTTATCCTATTTTTGAGGACCCGTCATCAATGAATCAGAGTCATTGGGATGGGAAACATTATCATTCTGCTTTTCACACGTGACATGGTAGCATATTTAAAAATTCTTACTTGTTTCTGGACGGAATTGCCGCCAGATGCGCACAGGTCCTGCCGTAAGTGCCGTCTGATGCATTTAAGATAGTACTAGTGCGAGAAAAGCCTCTCTCTGCTTTTCCGTCATACATCCTCGATTGTTCTAGTGTTATGATCCTGGCCAATTTCGAGATACACATCCATCAGATAGTACAATGCCGCCCAATTGCAGAAATAAATGAATGAACTTGAGAGGAGAGAGAGGATTAGAAGAAGAAGACGAAGTAAGAAAGAAGAAGAAGATGATGTACACCAGCATAGACAAATGACAAGGCTCTTCTTCTTCTTCGCCCAACAATCTCCTCCTCCTTTATCTCCCCCTTCTCATATTTATACAAGAAATAATAATACAATGTTGAATGGCTGATCCAGAATCAATGTCCGAGTTCCTCTTCTACTGCGGGCATCACTTGAGGTCCACCATAGCCATGGCCGCCTCTCCCACTCTTCACTCTCACAGGCCGGGGCTATGGCGGACTACTAGGCCTTGCCCAGATGCCCAAAGGACAACCCAAAGCAGCTATGCCTGCTCTAGCTCAGGCCGCCATGCCCGACCCTGCCTCGAAGCTTCTTGGTGTAGCTCTCCCCACTTGGGGACTCCCTGCTGCAGCGCCCACTAAGGTGATGAAGAAGGCTGCCACCATAGCCAGGTAAGTACCCCTGGCACTCCTCCCCCTTCCTGTCCTTCTTCCTCCTCCGTGTCCTTCTCCTTCCCCCAGCAGCGCTGCTCTTGGACAGCGCTGTTCCAACCGGTGCTCCAACCAGTGTGTCGCCAAACTTGCACACCGAAAAAGAGGCCGGGCTCTTCGCCTGGCTGGGAGATATAGCGGCCTGCGTGCCTCTTCGGGCGGTGACTTCCAGCCGCTCGGCCTTCCAAGCAACCGGTACCTCCTCCCTTTCGGAGGGAAAGATCATTGCAGACTCTGATATTGCCCGTACAGGCCCTAGACCCAGACTGGTTGGACTGGTATCCGCCTAGACCTAACCTACAACTACTGGGCCTCTAAAAATGCCACTTTTGTCTTCTTCTGCTCGGCCTCCAGTACCCGCACATCTACCCCTTCAGGGTGCGGTACCGGCCTAACCGCTACTTGAGTGTTTTTCCTGCTGCAATCCCTCAATGTCACGGCCACAGGTAAGTACCGGCCCTGAGGGCCCAATCAACAAGCAAGTGCCCTTGCGGGCCACACACACACTCAAGCCAAACAGCACTCAGACAGGCACGGCCACACACACACTCAAGCCAACCAGCACTCAGACAGACATGCAGTCCAGCAAGCGTGCACACACAGACTTAGTAGCAGGTGGGAAACTCAGCAAGGCATCCAGTCTATGGGCAAAACTCAGAAATCAGTCGTGTGTTTCAGTCCATGTTAGGATGGGTCATCACACTAGTGTCTGCAGAGGCAGGTCCTGAAGAATCCTTCTCAAGAGTGCACTCTTAGCTCATAGCAACTCACCTAACTGAGGCGAACTCCATTTTCTCTTCTTTTTTTTCTTCCTCTTGCGCTGGGGCGAATATGATAATCAGCAATTTGCCAATTACTAATTAGTAATTACCCTGCTCTGTATCGTTCCAATTTTATCGGATGTCCCAAAGGACCCTAAGGGCCTAACTCCATTTCTCACTTTCCTATTTTGCCTCATTTTGGACTTTGCTGAATTTGGCCCACTTGTGCCCTTCCACCTCAGGGCTGGGCCTCAGCGCAGCCTGCCTGCAGAGCTTTTGCCTTGGCAGAATGTCTGTGATGATGATTGGCTTTGGTTATCGTGAAGATCGTACGGCAACAACAACTCAAGGTTGAACTTTGTGGATGCTGAGAAGCAAACATGATGGTGTAGCAACAACAACAACAGCTCAAGGTTGAACTTTGTGGCTGCTGAGAAGCAAACATGATGTCTGTCTTGAAACTTAAAAAGGGATTCACTTCTGTCTTGTACCCAGGCTGCAGTTTTTTGACTCCTTGTGTTTGTCTTGTGTTGTTTGACTTCCTGCGTCTGTCTTCTTGTGGAATTGGACATTGCTTCTGTTTAACTGAATTCCAGATGGTTGAGATGGCCTCGAAAAAGTTTGTTGTGATCGTCGATGACACAAAGGTGAGCTCTTTGCTGCTAGACCATTTGCAAACGACGTCCTGTTCTCGTGTTCGGTTGGTCTGACGTGGGTGGTTATGTTCAGTTATGCCCATCCCTTGATGTGTGAGTGTGTGTGTGTGTGTGTGTGTGTGTGTGTGTGTGTGTGTGTGTGTGTGTGTGTGTGTGTGTGTTGATGTGTGTGTAAAGACACATGGCAAACATCTCCAGCACAGATACTGTGCCCCGTACCGACACAATACTTCCGGAGGAAACACGCATCTGTGTGAGTCAAGTCAATAGACAACCCTTGACGTAGCACTGCAAGTCCACTAGTCATATAGACCACAAGACACAACCAGCAAGGCATAGAACGACAAGCCATGACAAAGGACATAGGATGGAGGGCACGGGGGAGGCGGGTGTGCAGACAAACGACACAAGGCAGTGAGGCACGAAGAACAATGACACAAAGGACATACGACATAGGCGGGCGGGTGGGCAGACAAACGTCACAAGGCAGTGAGACACGAAGAACAATGACACGAAGGACATAGGCGGGTGGGCAGACAAATGACACAAGGCAGTGAGGCACGAAAAACATTGACACGAAGGACATAGGCTGAAGGGCATGGGGGAGACGGGTGGGCAGGCAAAGAACACAGGGCAACAAAGCTCGCCAGGTAAGAGGCTTAGGATAAACGGATTAACAGGTGAACAGCATACGGCAGCAAGGGAAACGACCACAAGCAAAACAAGTAGAAGGCAAGCACAGCAATCGAAAAAAATAAGTATAAAAAAGCAAAGACTGAAAAAAACAAAACTGATGATAGATTGTTTCGTCGGAATTGCACCGACTCATCAGGAGGCTGAACCCTCGACAATCTGCGGAATCTCCGTATTTGATGGTTTGGGTCATGAACCCTTTGACCCTTGTTGAAGGCAGACTGGCCAAAACGGAACACAGCAACGAGCAGCAACCCTGTGAAGCACCAGGCAACACAGTAGAGGCAACAAGGCTGCACAACGCCAAAAACGACTGCAAGGAATGCAGCGCGGCAGCCGTGCAGTGAAGTACAAGACAACATAAGCAAGGCAATGGCGCTGCAGGGGACGACAGGGCGAGCGGACCAGCAGCTTAGCAACCGTGGAGCGGAGCACAAGGCACCGGCAACAAGGCAACCCAACTACATGGCACACAAGCGGCAAACACGGAAGGCACGACCAGCGGATGAGCAGCACGGCAGCGAAGCAGCGAAGTGCAAGGCAACACCAGCAACACGGCCACACCACACAGCGAACACAGCAATTCACAGAGACCCGCATGCGAAGCAAGCGGGACAGGCAGCAGGGCAGCAGCGGAGCGCAGACGAGGACGTCCACACATCCAACACGGAGCAAAGCAGCACATCACCTACTCACATCACGGGTGAACCCCGCAGACTGTTGGTTCCCACCACCCGCTGAGCCAGGGAGACACTCCGACGACCATCTGTCATCACCGACAGGCAACACAGACATCCCGAACCGAGCGCCCCCCTAAGAGTGCAGTTGGCACTCCAAACGAGGAACCACCGACTGTTTGGCACTACTTAAGGGTGCTCAGTTGGGTCAACAAAAATACTTAGAAAAAGATCAGAGGGAGGATAGACAACAAGAGAAAAAAAGACATACATAAAACTGATCGTGTGTGTGTGTGTGTGTGTGTGTGTGTGTGTGTGTGTGTGTGTGAGAGAGAGAGAGAGAGAGAGAGAAGGAGGAGGAGGGGAGCTAGAGATGGAGGTTCAGGTCCTGGCAGTGTGTGTG